CACAACAGGAAGTCATGAGGAAGAGTATTTAGGATTGACTATAAGAACAGTTACAAATCAGGGGAGGTTATTCAACCCATCTGGCCATTTGGTAGTTTGTAGCTAACTGATCCAAGGATCTCATCCAGCTGTTTCTTGAACGAAACCAGGGCACTGATTTCTACAACACAACTGTCTAGCATGTTCCATACTCCCACAACCCTTTAGGTAAAGGAGTGCCTGCTCTCCGTTATTCAAAGCATTTCCACATAGTTTTCACTTGTGCCCTCCTGTTCGTGTTTCACTGTTCATTCTGAAGACATCCGCCTTGTTAACGTTGTCAATGAAGGATTTTGACGTCTTTGGATTGGTCCCCTTGTAGTTTTCGCTGGTCCAAACTAAAGACGTTCAGTTCCTTCCTCCTGTCAATGTAGGGCACACCCCCCAAGCCCCCAGAATTTGTCTGGTTGCCCTTCTCTGGACTGGTTCTAGAACAGCGGCATCTTTTCTCTATAGTGCAGTGACCAAACTATTATGCAATATTGTAAATGAAGCCTCACTAGTGCGTTATACAGTTTTAAATGCTATACTTTTAACTATCCAGCATTTTGCTTGTGATTTTTAATTGATTAAGGCCTTTACAGCCTCAATTAAGACAGGCCGCACTTTTTACACAGAGAGTACTAGGTGTCTAGAACAAGCTTACAAGGCCAGGTTGAAGAAGCCAGTTCCCTGGGAAACTTACAGACAATGGCTGGATGAGATCTTCAGATCAATAACTTCCTAAACCGCAAACATATGTGATGGATTACATATACCCCTTATATTTGTAGGTTTGTAACATTTTATGTTCTAATTTATCTTTCAAAACCTGTAACCTGATACACAATGTGTTGGGAGGGCGACATGGACAAAAAGCACCCACAGAGACTAATAGGAAAACAAATGTTTTGAATTTCCCCACAGGACAGCCATTTGAAATTTAGTCTCATGTGGGAGACCAATGTTGAATGGTCAATAAAATAAGCAGGAAAGGCTGTTCTCCATTGTCATACAACACCACTTTGAAAGCTTCATGCCCCAGTGCTTCAAAACCCTCAAAGAGAAAACCGAAATGATTTGCCTATTTTTTTCCCCCACATCTGCATTGTCTCTGGCCTGACGGGATTATGTTTACATCATTATTTTCAGCAAAACAAGAGGAAATTCTGTTGTGGGACAAAAAAAAAGTTTGGAAATCCCCTAAAAAGATTAGGCATTTCTAAACACACTTAAAGCAAACAAAAACAAATGCTTTCTGTCTAAGAGGATATAAAAATGAGGAGTTACATTAAAGATCAAATGACATATTTGTTGGAGTGGAATTTCAGGGTAAAAAAAGCAGCCCATTTTATCTTTTTGAAGCCATTTAGCCAAAACAGCTAATACCACATCATTAGCTTTTAATGAGTAGGAATTCGATCTCCCCAGAGAACAAATGGTAACACCTGTATTTTTTAAATACTCCTGTATTTAAGGAGTCTGTACAAATGATCTTCATTGAAAAGTAAGTCTCTCCAACCTTTACCACAACCACACCTGCATTTTATGGTACTGAAAGGCACAGTCAGGCTTTCTGGTTTTCTGTATTTATTTCCCAACACCGTACCTCCCTTTAAAATGAGTTTCAATGATTAACTAATTAGCAGAACAAACAGTCAGTGCCTGCTAGGTTTAGCACGCTTTTAATCAATTAAACCTGGAAACATCTGTTTTATCACCATACAGTTTGTTCACCTAGTGTTGAAAATAATAAAGCACTAAGATAGAACAATAAAGACACCAGAGGGTGAATTAGGGAAGTGGTGGAATGACAGATTCAGAAACAAATAGCATCTGTCCATATCTGCAATCAAATTCAAAGTTAAATCAATCCATGGGGATTGAAAGATTGCGAACGGATCAATGTTCTCACAGTATCTGGGCCCCAGCTTCTCTCTCATTTTTGGCCTGTGAATTAAGTTGATTTATAGAATGATCCTTTTCAGTGTTTCACACAGCTTTATTGCTTTATTGTGGAAGAATGACTCCTGTAAAGCAGTGCGACGTGAGTAGTACATTTCAAAATCCATTGCTGCCGCAAACGGCATTTATGTCCCCCCCATCGCCGAACAATTTTGAACTGAAATAGAGACGTATATTTTTCCGCCTCTCATAAACCGTGCATGTTGAAATTGTTTTACATATCACAAAAAAACTAGGTATACTCCTTAATATGTTCAAATTATGTATATGGTAAATATAGACAAGGGTGGCAATGTGGCACAGAGCTTGGCATTGCTGCCTCACAGTGCTGGGGCCCTGGGTTCATGTCCAGGCCCAGGGTGCTGTCTGTGTGGAGTTTGAATGTTTTCCCAGTGTTCACTTGGGATTCCCCTGTGTGCTCCGGCTTCCTCCCATAATCCAAAATCAGACGGGTAGGTGAACTGGTTCCTAGGCAATCTGGCCCAGGTGTGAATGCTTGTGTGTTTATGTGCCCCTTTTGTATGCCCTGCGATGGACTGGCGTCCCATCCAGCGTGTAACCTGCCACGCACCACCCTTGCTTGTCAACACACTGGCTCCCCCATGACCCAAAACTGGAAGAAGCGGTAGGAAAATGGATGGATAAAAATACAGACAACACATGTTAGTTTCACATGTTTCTGTTATAATATAAATGAAAAGTTGCAACGTTCTGTTTCTAAAAACACATAAAAGCACATGCTAAGTTCTTTTTAGCTTATTTTATAATTAATGTTTGTTTTCAGGAAGCATATCCACATAACGCCGAAGCTAAATTTGCAAAAGACCAAAAGTAGAGGGAGTAATTTAGAGTTATTTCATTTAGAAATCTGCATACGCCATTAATAGAATTCATGCCGTATCATAAAGTGCATCTGTATTTCTATGAATTTTACATGAACTCCACTGTGAAAAATTATAAATTCAGTAATTCTAGAAAGGCTCAGATTACGCTCAATTTGTTGGTCCTGTCACTGTCGTCCAATTAATGAATCTTCAAACTGCAGATTAAATGACATTTCACCTAATTGATAATTACATTTCACCTAATTAAAAACTGCTCATTCAAAATTTGCTGGACTTATCCAACCCCTGTGTATAAAATAAACATAACATACCGGTTCTTTTGAGATTTTTTCAAATGAATTTCTTAATTTGGCACGGTTCTAATTATATTTTATTTAAAAATAACTATGTGACGCATCTAAAAAATATTAATTCATATATTTCGTAGATATTTTATAAGTTTTGTTATAAAACAAATATCCCATTAAATAATATCTTAATCTGGTACCTGGTTATTTTATTGTTTTATGTTAAATAAGGCATCAATAGTATATGAAAACCCATTATTCTAGCTTACTTGATGGATTTATTCTTCATCTTTCCTGTTGGCCAACATACCAAAATATATCATGCCTGATTTTTAGTAATAAAACAGCGTTGTTTCATTTCAGATTAAGTATATAAAGAAGACATTAATAGGAAGATACTGTACTGTGTCACAAGAAAAATATTTGCAAATATTAAAAAGTATATGCAAATATTGTTCATTATAAAATAAATATGCATTTCTGAAATATCAGACCAAGGTTCAACAGTGATCTCATTAGTTCACAAGAGAAAACTGAGACCATTTTTTTCCTTTAAAATCTCATTTAAAAATTAATAGAGCAAAAAAGTATGATCATTTAAGAGTAAGATAATCTCTAACATTAGATCTTTAAATCTGTAAAGTTGTAAAGTTTAGAGATCTAAAGTATAATGTTTATGCTGACATCTAAAGCTTACATAATGTATTTAAAATACCAGAAGCTGAAATGCATGTATCTGTGGGGCTACATACTTAATAAGTAATGAAGCAAATAATGAATTGAAATTAAAAAACCTATTCATAATTAATTGTAACATAAATGGGAATAATCATTCATTTTTAAATATACAGCATGTACAGTATATCAAGAATGATGAGATAAGATCTGTCACAGTTCAAAATGAGATACAGAGGAGGGTTAAAATAGCTGGTACATAATCATCATGTTGAGATCAAGAGTGCATCCCCTCTGACTTGGGTAACACACATAACCTGCTAAAGATGACTGACCTTCTGCAAATGTGGTCAAATGTTGAGGTGCACAGTGTGATTTGACTTCTCTTTGCAACAGGTACTGCACTGTATACTGCGGTACTCAACACTGGCTGAAATTCCTCAAAAATGTGAAAAGAAACTTATGTAACAGCAAAGGATAACATAGTCTTTGGTAATGGTTGTACCTGTACTTATGCAAGAATAAATACATGCGCACATAATTAGACATTTTAAAATATGGACTTTCTTGGTCAAGTGGACATGTGACCTGCATATATATATATAAATACACACAAATAGATATTTAAAAATCTCTTTATATATTTTGTCCTTTATTTTTAGGTCTTTGCATGGTTGGGTTTAATAGGCTTCTCTTCTATTGGGGCTAAAGCTGTCATTCAAGATGGGCCAGAAAGACTGAAATAAAGACTGAGCTTTCTCTTTCTCATAACAACCATTATAACTCACAGTCAGTACCTTAGTACCTCTACTATTATTTTAAATAATGTCAAAAAATGTTATTGATTGATTTGTCAATCATTTTACTTTTTTGAGGATCTGAAAATGATGTAAAAGTTTTGAATAATTGCATATAGAGGACAACTTGGCCGCAGCATAGCATACTCGATACGTTCCCCAGATTGATAACCGGCAGGTGGTGGTTTCAAGTCCTCACTGCACATCGTACTGTGGTACTGTATGTTACCCCATTAGCTTCAGTCCATCAAGCTATATATGTGGATACCAGCATTGTTAATGTGGATCCCTGGGATGGACAGAATACGCACTGGCCCAATGAACTTCTGTGGCTTGGGTATAGAAATGATCTGCCTGCAGTAGTATTTCATTCACATTACAGTTTTTGTGAAAGACATAACAAAGGTACTTACTCATGATTCTTAAGAACAGGAAGAAGGAAAAATCTTGCTGGAATACCTTAAGCACGCAACAGAAGGCTGTCAGTCTACAAGACACAAGCAAGATAATTAAAACTTAAGAGGCTTTGCAAATGGCTCCAAAGGTATCTGACTCCTGCAAGACTTTTTGGCTGCCTGAGAATATAAATGACTTTACTGCCTTGCAGAGTATTGACACAAGTTTGTCTGATTGCTTTTGCTTCTTTTTAAGTCTGAGAAAACATTCCTGCGCTCAGGTGATGAGGTGCTGTGCTTTGAGGTGCAGCTTACTTACAGGGAATTATCTGCAGTACTGATCTTGGAAAAATCTTCATCCCTTTGTGGCTTTTAGTTTTTTCGCACTCCGCAAGTGGGTTAGGAGGCAATGAAGAAGTGGCGATGTAAAAGGATTAAAACAAAAGCCTAACCACCCTGCCCAGAGTGTCCCTTCAAAAACTTCTGAGAGAGATGCTTAAAAAGACAGTCAAAATCTTCTTCAATTAGCACCTAATCAGTCTTTAGAATATGAAGTGGTTGTAATGTCTGAGACAGCAAAACTCATCTCCACTCCCAACCCTCATGCTGAATCTATCCAGAATGATATCAAAGCAAGCTTCACTTCAATCTAAAAGGCATTAGGGGCATTAGGCATTGGGACGGTGTGGTGGCTAAGGATCTGTGGCTGGAAGGCTGCCGGTTCGTATCCTGCGGCCAGCAGAGGAATCCTACTCTGTTGGGCCCCTGAGCAAGGCCCTTAACCCCAACTGCCCAGGGGCGCCGTATAAATGACCAACCCTGCGCTCTGACCCCAAGCTTCTCAAGTTGGGGTATGCGAAAAGACAAATTCCTAATACAAGAAATTATATATGGCCAATAAAGTGATCTTATCTTATCTTAGCTTGTGTACAGTGATGCAAATGTTTCTGAGAAGAAGGCTTTAGATGTAAGTTGAGGTGTATTGAAGTAATTACAGTATGTAGAACCAGCACAAATTATTCAGTGCAGGGCTATCCAAAACAAGACTGAATAAACAAGAGGAGAGCTCATTTGAAACATCAGATTCCTTAAGCAACTTACATGAATTTTTACCACCCGAAACACCAAACCATGGATGCTTTTCAGGCTCTGTTACATACTCATGACGTTTTTGAATCAAATGCATAAATGAAACCCCCCAATAACAAAAATGGAGTTTCATATCATTCCACTTAGAAAGCATGTCTTCTACCTCTTTATAGCACATACATTCAACTTAAGATTTATAGGATAATTCGGTTGCTTTCACTTCACAAGTATCTAGGTGCATTAATAATCATGGTACCAGTTTAAAGTTGAATGACTGCCCTTCATTCCAGTTCTCACATTATGATGCCCCTAAAGATCCTCTTTAAATCAGTTTTCTTATTTCTCTAATCAAGTCCACTGTGCATCACCCAGGCAGGTGCTGTATTTCCATGGTAAATTAAGTGAAAAGCCCTCATATATGGAAAGTACCTTGGGATCCTTTGGGATGGAATTCTACATGCATAAATGCACATTGATTACAACAGAGCAATATGAATCACCCCTGAATGGAAAAAAAATACTTTGCATAATGCTAATCACAAATGTAGGAAAAGTTCAAAGTACAGCAAAGTCCATTCCCTCTGATACAGTTCCAGGGATACAGCAGGCGTCTTGTCTTGAAGTCATGATGCTGACTTCTGGTATACCAGTCTCTCCTATATTGAATATCACAAGACAGCCAGTGAGACCATGCTGAATGCTACAACAGGAATGTCAGGGAGCAGAGAAATCTGTGAACTACTGTTACACAATATTAGTTTGATTAGCCATTAGTCTACTTATAAACTGGAGAGGACGCTGGTTAATCGCAGAGTCTACCCCCAGCAATGCTGGTTCCATTCATACAACTAGACGGACTGGGTCAATTGGACTGAAGTACCTCACTCAGGGGTACAACAGCACTGTCTTTGATAGGGACTTGAACCCACACCCACCAGTTATGACTCCATAGGCTTACCCACTACCCAACTCTGCCTATCATCTTCAATTATTGATACTTCTATAGATTTTCTTTTCAAGCATTACCTTAGGGGATTTAAAATAATATCTTCTGCCAAATATGTTGTTTATTTCTGTCCAACGCATGTGTGTGTGTGTGTGTTAGTTCACAAGAAGTGAGCTCAGTCACAGTATGTTATTGTGATAAAAACAGGTACGCTGAGGAAGCAAAGTTTAGAGTACGACAAAGATTTCCCTACCGGACTAGAATGGATTTTTACAAAGCAAGCCTGCAATCTGCTGGGTTATGTCAGGAGGCAGTCCGGCATAATAGTTTCATGGCTCTGCAGTTTATCACTATTGACAGCCAGATAAAAATGTTCGCATTATGGAATTGTGGATTGCTTATTCTCTCACTGTGCCAAAAAGTCACAGGATCAGAGCCCCCTCATAGCTGTACGATGTTAAACACAGGAGGAATTTTAAGTTGCAGTGATTTAAGAAAGTGTATTGACATGAGTGTGACAGGCCGGGATTATTGACAGACATTCCTGTCCACCCGGCGCCACATTTTCTAAGAAGTCCTTCCATTTTGAGCCACCAAGACTGTTCCTCTATTGCAGCTATTGCATCGTGCTGCAGAGAAAGTGCCAAGGAGATTTTCTCATTTTAAATCAAAACCAAACACACACAAAAAAAGAAAGAAATGCGAGCAGGGAGACAGTCCGGTCAAGAAAAAAGTCCGCGTTTAGTTATCAGCTCCAGCCGCTGTTATTCCTATCACCAAAATAGCAATATAATACTGCATACGTTTGTCAGAATATTATACCTTTAAGTAGTCATTTGAAAAGCTTCGAGAGCAGAGGTATGAAAAACCCATCCTCAAAGATCCAGATTGTCATTCAAACTCAGATCTAAAAGACGTACGAAACAGTAAGGGCTGTAATGTTCACACACCCCTTTTTATTTTCCTGCTGAAAACCTAGCAGTGTCAACAACAAACACCATCCTCCTACAATTTAGTATGTACTGGGTCTCCAAACGGTATTTAATAATGAATAATGTCTTTATTAGCTAGTAACATAATTTCAGAGTGTGCTTTAAAAGACAGAACTAGTAAGACTTAGTAAAAGTAAGTGTTGAAGGTTATACTACTCTTCTTCACCACTAGTACTTCAAGCAAGCATCACTAAGAAATATGAATGGATTTGGAATTTCAACTAATTAGTAACACTAACAGGGAGAGCAATTATAGAATAGTTAGCACAAATGCATAGTTATTTTTTTTTACCTCTCCCCTTAAAAAAAACTTACCAACTAAATTAAATCCGTGCCGTTTTAGGCTGCAGACTTCACAATTCTTCGATGAGTTTTGAGCAAGTCTGTCAAATTTACTGCACGGTAAACTTGCGAACTGAAAGTGCGGTACTGAAATAATTCATCTGCGATGTGAAAAGACTGCTCTTCAGAGTTCCCAGTATGCAAAATGGATTATAAAACAAATGTATTGGGGGATGTCAAACCCTAATCTCACCCATTTCCCCCTACCTAAAGACAAGCATTGGGTTTTTTGCTTACTCGTTTCGCTTCGTGTTTCTCTCGCCGGGTAATCTGTGCCCTTGGCATTCAAAAGCCCTTAACACGCAGACGAGTTGTACTCTTCCTGAGCCAGGTGAGTCAGCCCAGTAAAATCACTGTGCTAATGACGCGTCTACTCCGCCTTCTTTTGGGCTTGACCGAACTACTGAAGTATCTAAAAGCACTGGTAAATGGCTTAAACATGAATTTACCCCAGCCATTCTGACACGTTTATAATATTTACCACTTCACAGATCATGCCTCAAAGGTGCAATTTCAGTTCGGTAATATCTGCACCGAAATAGAAGAAGAAAAATCTAATTACGTGACACAAAGAGCAGAGTACAACTCCGTTCAGAAAGTGATGTTGCCTAATTATCGATGTATTGCCTTTTTTTAGACTTTCGATACAGTGAAGTTTTGATTTGGATAATTTAGATCAGGTAGCTGTTAAAATTGCTCTGTGGTACTTGCTAACAAGAGCTCCCGATTTTTTTTTGCTCACAGTTTACATTGAAAACTGTGCTAACAGACTGCGGGTGTTTTATGAGTGAAATGTTTGAAAAAATGACACTTGAAATACCTTTTAACTGCTGCTTTGGTAGCCATAGACTTGTAGGTAAACAGAACCCTCAACAAGTTATATAGTATTAGTAAGATTCATTACTTTTTAAAATTCCGGAGCGTATTATTTTCAATTTCCTTTAGTTCAAAACCCCAACTATTTGTGTTAACCTTCCACCTTCCTATTTAATAATGCCTTACTTATAGCTGACCTACAGGAAAGACAAAACCTTGACCAATGTTATTATAAAGACATTTAATGCTTAGAAAGCATCAGATACAGAATACCAATGCCCCTTAAATCCATTTTTTTTTCTTTTAATCCTCGCTAGCTGGGCAAAGTGGCAAAATGAAAACCCAAGACTTAATGTTCTCCCTTAATTTTCGATTTATTTAAAATGAAACAATTGAATACTACTAAGGAGGACTGGTGAGCATGAGGTTTTTATCTCTCGGGAGATTTGCGGGAAATAAAAGGGAGTGGTGGAGGCAGGCGGTTAGCGCGGCAGCCGAAACGATTCGATCAGCATACGGAGGCTGCAGCAAAGCTGGCTTTTTTCAATCGTACTTTGTTTCTTGGTATGAAATTTGGAGGAAGGAAGAAAAAAAAAACTAACACGAAAACAGTGCAATGGATTCCTGTCAGTTTTCTGTGACTGTTGCCATGGAAACCCTGGTGCCAGGCCAGAGGTTTAGTCTGCTACCTTTGGAAACCTGCCAGTTCCTTAGGAGCTGCAGAAGGATCTTTCCACATAATCTGCATATAGGGCTCCAGTCCTGCTTTTCAGTATAAACATTTACCATCTGGGGCAACCTGGCAAAGAGGCGCCTATTTATTAAACGCAGGAAGGACATCCCCTTCAGGTTAGCAATACCCCAGACATCCAAGCAGTCCTGACGCCCCAGAAGTAAATAAATAACTGCTGTTAAAGAAAAGTGACCATCTGAAGAAAGTCAGCATTCACCCTGTACTGATATGAGTAATAAGGTTGTTGAATTTCTAACACTGCTTTTCCAACACCTCAAGAGCTACAGCAGATAGGCCTGTTGCACCAGTGTAAGTCCCAAATGTTTCTTCTGTGCTCTTTGGAATAAAAGTGAAGTGTCGTTCACGAAACATCGTCCTGTTGCTATTTTTGGCCAGAACTCGGTTAAGAACACGCTCACTTGTTGAAGATGTGTCTGAATTCTGAAAGGATAAGCGGGGCTTTTTCTGTGCTATTGTATGTGTCATCTTGAGGAGTGTTATTTTCACTGTTCCTTTCCAGTGGTAGATTTCTAACAGACTAAAATGACTTTTAATAAAAAGCCGATGACAGATGACGACGGACATGTTTCAGAAAGTTGCCCAGTCTTGTCGTTTCAGCCTCCTGCATCTACTTTCTGTCTTGCCACCTTTGAAAGTTCCATCAGTTTTTTTTAGGGGATTCATGAATGGATAAAGCTGCCATGTGTACCAACTTGGCACCATTTTCTTCTCAGAGAATTCACCTTCCTAATATCCCAGTATTTTTTTTCAAGTGAACACATGCCTTCTTCCACATGTGTGGGTTTGTAAATAGCTTTGAGATGACCTGATACCTAAATCCTTAATTGATGCAACTCAAATAAAAGCTGTTTCATTGCCAGTCCAATTTGAGGCTATTCAAAGTTGGTACAGTTTCATTTTACAGCCCATTTACTTAATGTAATGGTATGGAGTTTTGAGCACCAGGTGTTTTTTTTTTTTTGGCCAACTCAAAGCTAGGTCCTACATGCACTGCTGGTAACGTACTGATGTTTGTGGAGATTTTTCTATTCATGCTTTCTGGAACAAAACACCTGTCTTCCTCAGGAGACAAGCAAAATCATTCGTTAGAAGGAATTTGCATTAACACGCAGTAGGGTGTAGTCATGACTTTTGAGAACCTGTTTAAAATCAGAAAATATAGTCCCTTACCTCACCTGTACTTTGAGTCTGTATGTATTTGGCTGTATCAGTCAGCGCTAGCAGTTTTTTTTTTTGTTATTCTTGTCACAACAGAGAGCAAAATGAAGTTACTGGCAAGTTTCAAGGTTTTGCAATGAAAACAAGATTGGTTTGTGTGAAAGAAAATGAGAAGCAAAATGTCAGGGCTCTATCTAAGGCTACGGCGCCCGGTTCTTGTAGCGTATGAGGTGAATACCTCATACTGAGGAGGACTGAGGAGTCACGACTGTTATCAGCACACGAAGTCGATGTCTCCCTTGTTTTACAGCGAAATACAATTTCATTTTCAGACGTGAAGCCAAACCAAAGCTGAAAAACTTGAAAAGCAAGTGCGAGAAACAGGAGATCTGTCTTCACTGTCGGAGCTTCACTGCCACTAGTAGGATGACAACATTAACACAATCAGGATCAATCAGGAGATGCTCTTTAATTAATGTGTCTTAAAAAGAGACCTTGCTGCATACAGTAACTAATTCAAATCTTCAAAATAGGTAAGCGAAGGAAAGAAATGTCCGTTTCAAACCTTCATTTTGTATTTTTAACAAATTGCACCATTGCACTAAAAACTAACGATGCTTCTAATAGACACTACAGAACCAACTTGGGTTAAAATTCACCCAAATACAAGGACCAATATTATGCTCCCCTCCACAGCCCAGCTTTCTTTACAATTGAGCTTCCATCATTAGGAAATAAAAAAAAACATATTTATGTTATTGAAAGGGCAGCATAGTGGTGCAGTGGTTAGCACTACTGCCAGCACTGGGGCCCTGGGTTCAATTCAGGGACCTGGGGTACTGTGTGTGTGGAGTTTGTATGTTCTCTCCATGTTTGCATGGTTCCCCTCCAGGTGCTTGGGTGTCCTCCCATAGTCCAAAGACACGCTGGTACGTTAATTGGCTTCAGGGAAAATTGGCTCTGGTGTGAGTGTGTGTCTGTGTGTCTGGCCTTCAACTGACTGGTGTCCCAACCTGGGTTTACCCTGTACCCTGCTTTGTGCCCACTGCTTGCCAAGAAAATGGATGGATGTTATCCAGAATGTGACACCTGCAGATCCATGACACGCTAGGAGCAGCACCAGTGCTAACATGATATCAAAGCTGAAGAGAAGAATATAATCATAGAAAGATATAATGTGATATGCAACCAACATAGAGATTGACTGCTGCAAAGATTCAGTGCCCCAGAGATGGCAAAATTCGGCAAGATCCTGAACTGCTCAGTCTTTCAATCAAACCTTAGCTTTCGTCTGCAAAAGAATGTGTGTGAAATAATAATTTCAGAACTAATGAACATCACTCCAGGCAGAATCGTGAAAGGTAATTGTATCAGCTTGAATAATGAAAGGGTGTCTTATATAATTATTTTCTGCTCTGAAAAGACAGGGGAGTGTGCAAATGTATTCCCAGCGCTTCCATCTTCATGACACTGTGTTGCTTTGCACCCAAACAGTAACCGAAACCCCCCAAAAAATATTTCATCTCAATTCGAAACTTTTACTAACACGTGAATGATGTTCACCACTCTCATCTATTAGATTTACTTGGTACCACCATGGTTTAAATTCTGTAATAACATTAGGATTCTTGTCTGAAAAATAATTACTTCCCTTCTAGACAAATCAATAAAGGCTTAAAACACATGCAGATTAATGAACAGTTTGACCTGCGATGGAGAGGGGTCTCGTCCAGGATGAACCCTGCCTTACGCCCGGTGCATGCTGGGATAGGCTTCGGCTCCCCCGCAACACTGTATTGGAAAGAGCAGTTATAATATGGGGGGATGGATAGATTAACGAACAGTATTTTAATTAACTAAATGAACCAGGGTTTCTGATGAAAGGTAACCGTAATTTTGATATAGTGAATCTATATCTCGTCATATAATGTATCATGGTATACATAACGCAACACTCACTCCTGACGCGGTTGCACTTCACCTAAATCTGACATGTCCACGTGCTGAGGTTCTGAGAGACACTGTGTTGGGTGCCAAGGGGGTTGGGTGAGTGAAAGCCAGGCCGAAAATGGACCCCAGTGTTTTCGGGAGGCAGGTCCGGGGTCCTGCCAGCACCAGTCCGAGAAGACGGAGCGAGCGTGCCGTTCTGTCTGGCAAGGGCAGACGCACTTCTTACCGCGAGGCCGAGAGAGTGGCTTGAGGAGGGGAAAAAAAAATATGGGGCTGAAGGCAAAACCGAAGCTGTGGACGTGTGAAGTTAATACAAGATGGAGATGGGAAGACGTGGGGGACTGGGGAAAAGGAGAGGGAGGGGGCAAGAGACAGGGAAGAGCGCTGATAAATAAAACATGAGCCTGTGAAAAGTGGGTGCTGCATCAGAATATAAATGTCTTTCTTTCCCTTTTATCTTCTCCCATAGACTGGGGAGCTTATTAAATCAGGGCAGGCGCCTTTCTCCAGGGTCTGACCATCCCCTTCTCTGCAGCATTCATTTTTAATAACACCCCGGCTTAAATGGCTCACCGCGGGAAGGACGTGTAATTTGGAGAGTTCGCCTCATTTTTCTGCTATTGTAGCGTCAAGGGTCACAATTT